TTTTTTGAGTTGTTGATAATTGCCATTCTGACTGGAGTTAGGTGGTATCTCAGTGTGGTTTTGATTTGCATCTCCCTGATGATTAGTGAGGTTGAGCATTTCTTCATGTGTTTGTTGGCTGCTCGAATGTCTTCTTTTGTGAAGTGTCTGTTCATGTCTTTTGCCCATTTTATAATGGGGTTGTTTGTTTTCTTCTTTTCAGTACGCTTCAGTTCCTTGTAGATCCAGGATGTTAAGCCTTTGTCAGACCTAGAGTTGGCAAATACTTTTTCCCAGTCTGTAGGCTGTCTCCCTGCTCTCTTGATGGTTTCTTTGGCTTTGCAGAAGCTTGTCAGTTTAATAAGGTCCCATTTGTCATCTTCTCTCTTAAGTCCTGTGGGTTTCGGGTTTTGTACAGGAATTGGATGCCAGTTCCGATTTCCATGAGAGTATTTCCTTCCTTTTCTAAGGTTCTTATGGTTTGAGGTTTTACATTTAGGTCTCTGATCCATTTGGAGTTAACCTTTGTGCATGGGGATAGATAGGGGTCCTGTTTCAATCTTCTGCATGTGGTCAGCCAGTTTTCCCAGCACCATTTACTGAATAGGTTCTCCTCTCCCCATTGGTAGGTGTTGGGGGCTTTGTCGAAGATGAGTTGGTTGAGAAATTGAGGTTTTGCTTCTGGAATCTCAATTCTGTTCCATTGATCTATATTCCTGTTCCTGTACCAATACCAAGCTGTTTTGATGATTGTAGCTTTGTAGTAAAGTTTGAAATCTTGTACCACATTTTTTTACCAAGTCAAGCTTCAATGGGCAGCACAGTTGATTCCATGTTTCTGCTACTGCGAATAGTGCTGCAATAAATATGCATGTGCAAGTATCTTTTTTGTAGAATGATCTGAGTTCCTCCAGGTATATTTGCAGTAGAGGGATTGCAGGGTCACAAGGAAGTTCAATGTCTAGTTCTTTTACAAATCGCCACACTGTTTTCCAAAGAGGTTGCACTAGTTTGGGTTCCTTTTTCTCCACATCCTCACCAGCATCTACTGTTGTTTGTTTTATTAATGATGGCCATTCTTACTGGGATTAGGTGGTATCTCAATGTGGTTTTGATTTGCATTTCTCTGATGTGTGAGGCTGAGCACTTTTTTGCGGGGGGCCAGTCCCTGCAAGTTTTGGGGAGTCCCTTGGAAGATGTGGTGGCGTCGGCGAATTTGCAGGGACAGATATTAAAAGAAAGATGGAAGAATAGATATAAAGAGGAAGAAGAGTAAGAAAGTGGACAACTGTTCAGTGAAATGAGCAGAAGCTGTTTATTGAAAGTTACAGCAGGTATTTATCTCCAAATTTTAGACAGACAGTCTCACAAGTCTTTCACATGAACACAAGGCCAGGTGCAGGAGGGGCGCCCCCCACCCACCAGATGTTTTCTTAGGTATGAGGAGGAACAAACTCCAAGATTGTCTTATTGTTCCCTTTGCGAGTTAACGCTCTTCAAAAGTAGTGCAACAATCCCTACTAGCATGATGATGTTCTGATAATCAATAACTTCTAAAGCTCATGCAATACCCATGATGACTAACTTAAACTTTATTACCTTTCTATTCTATGCTAATACTACTTACACAATGCTAAGGAAACTCTTGATTATAGCTTAAGCCAATTCCTAAAGAATGTGGCCCAGTCCAAAGATCACACTGGGCTCTACAGGATGTGGCCCAGTCTAAGGTTCACAGTGGGCCACCTTTTGTAACAATAGACTACAATCTCTTAACAAAATGGCTATACTAAAGTCCTATATATCTATCCTAATTTCTATGAAAGTTTCTAATTCCTAATCCTAATATATAAAGCTGATCAGCAGCAGCAAAGCTTCTAAAAATCAAACCCAAATATAAACTTTAAATGTACTAAGGCCAAAACCACAATAGTAGAAAATGAAGACAATGAAATTTCTAAAGTAACTGTATTCTTATTAAACCTCAAAATATCATGATTGGTCATGCTTGAACTAACATGATTCCCTGACATTAGCATGACCTATTCTACAATACTTTCTATGAATACAATAAATTCAATTTCTATAATAGGTAGAAAAAACCCTACACTAACTGTAGCTAAAGCTGGCCTAAAAGAATGCAGCCCAGTCCAAAGTACATGCTGGACTCTCAGGAATGTGGCCCAGCCCAACTCTGTGCTGGGCCATTT